GGTTTGAATAAAATATTCATAGCCGTTTTTTCTGTAGGCTTTTCAAACAAGAATATTATGAATGATAATAATATGAAGAACAAATGGATGAATTTTGAATTTTATCTAACAATTGGAAAATCACCTTTTTTGTTATTATCAATATTTTATCAGCCTTAGCCATTGAGATAGAAGGTCTTGAGTGTTGTTTCAAGAACAACTCTGCTTTTTAAGATTTTTTTGCCATATTTTCTATCAGAATTTTTGTGAAATTCATGGGTGAACTCTATTATGAACCACTTTCGTGGTTCATGACAACTAAACGTACTTGTTACTATGCATTTTTTTCACTGTTCTATTGGGAGTGTGAAATCACACTTCTGATGAAAGGTGTAGATTCGCTCCTTTTTGAGTATCGGTACTCCATTATTCCCATAAAGGTGTAAGACAACCTTTTCTATGAAAGTGTATTGTTTCTAACTGCATGTTTTATCATCACCCTTTACTGATTTCGTGATATTATTCTTCTAAACTATGTGACATATACATGTGGTTTGTTTTTGACTGTGTGTGACCAAATTCTTTAAACTATGCTGTCAGTACGCTTTTAGCTTCTAAATATTAATGCCAAGCAACCTGCTAATCTCAGATTTGTCTGAGATTCAATATCTCAAGTTGTCTGTTGGCTTTACTACATTAGCTTCATTCAGGTGAGCATGCCAGTATTTAGAGCAATAATAAACTTACAAGTGACTGTTTAAAATACTCAATAAGAGACTTAGCTAGTTGATTTTAATGTCTAAAGAGTCGTAAATATACATTTTAAGTATAGTAAAGACTTTTGTTGTATATCACGAGTAGAAGCATTATATGAGAAACATTTCAACACCTTTTTTTTTATAAAAAAAATGTAAGTATAACCCAAGCTGTTCAGCTACGTAGCGTGAGTTTGAGAAAAAATGTTTTTTATGCTGCTGCAGATCAATCAGTTTCGCTTACAATGAAAGTATTAGAAAGTACAAGGTATGACATGAAGGTTGTGCTAGCTGATGACAATAAAATAAGAAAAAGTATCTACTGAACTGAAAGCTTAGAATGACAAGTTATATCTCACTGGTCCGCTAATGGTCTATGCTCTATAACGTATATGTTCGTTCTTACAACCTTACTCATATTGCTGCTGCACCCAGTCTCTTTGATAAATAAACAATCGCACTTCAGCAACAGAGTTACGTGTAAAAGAAGAAGAGCAGCAGCCAATCACGTCACGCCATCCTGCATTGGAAAAATGTTGCATCCTCGCTTAATACATCAATCAGAAAAGGAGGCTAGAAAAAGGAGGTGGGGGCATTTTTGGGTAAACGGCGGTAACTTATTCTACTTTGCGAATTTAAGTATAACAAATATGAAAATCTAGGTTACCAAATTTTATTTCTCCGCTAAATGCATCTAATTTTGATTTAAAGACCTGTAATTTACAAGATATGTAGAGTTTACACACTTGATTGTGATATAATACCTGCGCAAATCACATCAATTTACTAAACTCATCACTTAAAACGAACAAAAATGAATTAGTTTATATATCATTACATACAGTATGTTAAGGTGCACATTATGACTGAACAGGGTGCATGAGGACTTTATGAAGTAGGTGTTTAGTATGTACTTTGAAATGAACATTTGCTGCTGCAGAAAGATAATCAACCAAGGGATTTTGTTGTGTTAATACAAGTTGACTTATTAATATTGTTCATATAAAACTTTAGTTTGCAAATAATAAAACAGTAACTGTTTTCACACGTTGGAAGTATCATTGCTTAAGTCTACTGTGAGTTGTAGCTTGTAGCCAGTCGCTATTCACGTGGTTGCACAACGCTTAACTAGTAGTTACAAGGTTCAGTGATCATATTAGAATTCTGTAATTAGGCTGAACATCAGTAATTTATATGCATACAATTGCAGCGGTCTGGACAAGTGGCTCATTTCAGTTTACAATAGTGTAAGTTGCATATACATTTCAGATATAATACAGGGAGATAGAATAATGCTCTTCTCACCTGTTGACAAACATATAATAGAAATAAGAGCTACACGTATAAAGTATATATTGTACTGTCTTAAAGTTTTATAAAATAAAGGCTAAATATACAAACTAAATAAAGGACATTTTTGTAGAGAGCTGTTAGGGAAACATCATTTTGTCAACGCACATGAGGTTGTGGAGCACTGTGCTGTAAATATAAGAAACACTGTTTTAGTTGTACTGGAGAACCTGAATACTAGAAAAATGAGTTGACTGTGTGAATACGTAATGTGTGAAAGCTTTATATAAATAAATGTTGTGTAAGAACATATTAAGTTACCTGTAATGTATTCCCGTTATACAATGGTACGAATAAATAACTGGGAGGTGATGAAGATGAGTCTTTATACTGCTCTATTTTTGAAGCCCTTCTTTGAAGTTGTTTACGTTTTATGGAGTGAATTCATACCGTATGTACATTTTTTTTAAATTGATAAAACAAATACAGTCAAAATGATTTCAATTTCCCTAATTTTTGGTTTGTAAAACGTTCATCTCATTTTTTCCTAAATACATATAAGTTTGTAATTCAATAGTGTTCAACACGTCCAAATTAAATTAACGATTCAACTTTCCAGTTTTACACTAATTACACAGGCCTGCGATGGTTTTATTGCATTGAAATGTTTACATGTTCTACAGTATTTCCTGTACGCTGAATCCGAAAATAATATGCATTTTTTCCCATCACGTACAGATTTTTCACAAAACGTCATAACGCAATACATAAAATAAAGACCACAACACGTAGTTTTGAGAGTAAAAGGCCTAGATTTCACACACACACACAAATCAGGATGAATGAGGATGGATATTCGTTTGACATCAATGTTCTTCCTTCTTCTTCAGTTTGTTTGTATTTTTGTTAACAAACATAATAATGAAAAATTTTCATTGTGGTAAATGAAATAATAATCTAATCTAAGTAAAAGTATTTTCTTCCCGATTTGTAAAAAATATTTACGTCATAGAAAAAATGAATATTATTTTAGAAATTTGCGTTGCTGAATTATGGAAAATCCGTTATTAAAACCAAATCAGCTTTTATGAAGTTTATATTCGCAGGCCTGTGTTATCATTACTATAATCAAAACGTAACTTTTGTAACAGAGAGTGTAGTTCACTGTGTCGAAGTAAAGTAATTTAGGTAAAAATGCAAACTACGTACGAATGAAACATATCTGGTGCAAACATCACTCATTATTTCAGGTTATGTGAAAAAAAAAACATCCACATATCTTTTGTTTTTAATTGATATGTTTGTTTGTTTTTTACAGCAAAGCCACATTTAGCAGAAGTTTCTGTATTTTTATTCCTTACACATACTGAAGAGGTTTATATTGGGTTTTAGTGGCGAAAATACTTGACTGTTAAAATGATGACATAACTTAAGCTGTATTATGTCAAATCACTTACTTTGTTTATATAGTAATTGATTTCTTTGTCTTCGAAAAAACGGTTCTACTATAGCTTTTTTCATAATGCAATTATTATATGTATATATGATATTAGTTTTCATATAAGAAAACACTACCTTCACGTAATACTTTTCATGTAAAGCTTCACTTCTTCTTTTGTCTTTTATTTTTTGTTTTTTTTTAATTTCGCGCAAAGTAAGTCAAGGACTATCTTTGTTAGCCGCCACTAATTTAGAAGTGATTGACTTGAGGGAAGACAGCTGGTCAACAATGATCATCGTCTACTGTTTGGCTATACTTTGGGATTGACCATCAAATTATACCATTCCCCAGAAGATTACGAGTCGAATGCTCTAACCACCAAGCTTCTGTTTTTTATAGAAATTTGTTGTTAAAATCACATTTATAAAGATATACTTGAGAAATGAGAAGTATATTTAAAACATTTCTCTCTTCAAAAATTAATTAGTAATTGTAAATAGAGCTGGTGTCATGAAACTATAATGAATTCGATGTACAATACCATATACAAGGAAAAATAATAACGTGATCAAAGTTTGCATATAAATTCCTCTGATCTGAACACTATATATACAAACAGTTCAAAACTAAGAAAAATACTCGTGCTCGGATAACCACAATAAACAATGAATATTTTATGTTTTTAAGTCAAAGTGTTAAAATTAATTGTTGTATACATAGGAAAGCAAGGAAAATAAGTAAACGAATAAAATTAAGAAAAAGTAACATGTTTAAAAAAACATGATGGATTTTGAAGGATTGTTTTATAAACTTGACACATAAAGATTACTTTGTATCATTTCCATCTCTATTTATTAAGTCTACCTAAAAACATTATTACTGTAAAGGTTATGTGAGTAATCTAGCTACACAAAATATAAATACATACAAAAGGTAAATATTTCTTTCAGATAATAATAATTATGCGTTACACTTAACGGCTGCATATTTTTCTTTGTTTTATACCAATTTTACTAATTTTCGTATATATCTAAATATTATCACAGTATAGATACAATTATTTGTTTGTATGTATGTGTTAAAAAAAATAGGCTTTTATTATAAACTACAAGAACATAACAGTTTTATTATGTATTCATCTTTCCAGCATTAAATAATACAACTATAAAAATTATAATATAAATAAAAGTTTTATTGGCATCAGAGGACTGAATAGCAGTTTCACACTTCAGGTTTCGTCGTCTGGAATGCTCACATCGGAGCATAGTACTTTAATTAATATGCAACTACAAAACTATTAGAACCGCACATTGGAGTAGTCAGGAGTGAAGTGTTTTGTTAGACCAGTCAACCTAAAGTTGGTTTATAAATATCAGTTTAAATTCTCACAGAAAAATGAACAAAAATGGTAAAGAATTGAGTAAAATATTGTGACGTAAACATATAACAAAATGAAAAGTTATCGAAATTTAAACAAAAGTACGACCTAATAGTTAAAAGGTCACCAGAAACCAGTAAATAGAAGGAGACAGTGATGAATCGATATACAACTAAGTAATTTATTCAAGATGCCACTCTTGGTTACAGACGAGAAAAAATAAGTAAATGGGGCCCGAAAAGATGAATTGAGAAAGTCAGCCAGATAATAAAGAGCTACGACTCTAAACTTTTGTTGTTTCTCCTCTAGACACAACCGTGTCGTCCTTTTGAGTAACGACTCTCCGTAACACTGTTGTGGATGAACCTGGCATAACCCTAGAGCGCATAGTGTAGAGCTTATTTTCCGAGTTGGGTGGTGAGACTCTCTTTGAAGTACTGCAATCCTAAGATACACAAATAATCTTAAAGGTGAGTATTACAATTACAAATATTTTCATACGTTTATTTCTGCTTTGTTAAACAAAAGAGCATACTTATAGTTAAAGAACTTCCAAATATTAATATTGTAATTTTTATTAAAAGCTTACACATAGTGATTAATGGTTAGGGAATGATGGCACAAATTTCCCTTTCCATAACGACATGCATTTCTCAGGACAAAACTTAATCGTAAATTTTACAATAATTATCGTCGATAAAAGATTATTACAACTAAACACTATACTATATAAATGCATCAATACATCTAAAATAAAAAAGTAAATGTGAAGCCTAATCTATCATTCGATATACCACTTGTTACTGAGTTATACCGGTTTCGGGGAATTACACCATTCATCAGTAACTCTGGACAAAGACAAATCGAAAGAACATGACTACACTTCATACAGTGACTTACTGTGTAAATAAATGACATTTCAAAATGCCATACCTACAATATACACTTTACCACTATACGAAGCCTAGTAAAAATCTCAGAAAGAAATTGAGAACTGTGTTTATACTATGTATTATCATTTATTGAAAGAGAAACTATCGGTTGGAGTGGTTAAACCCATGTTACTATTTTACCCTTATCTGATATATTGGTTTATGCCCGACAGGAAATTCAGAATTTCATATGAATATATAACTTGGAACTGTTTATTCAGTTTAGGTCATAAGCAAACTCAGACTTGGTTTTACAATTTTACAGTGTGTTACGAGCTACATCTTCGATTTGGAAATGCTATGACTTAATACAATGTTGTTTTTTGAGCATTATATATATATATATATATACTAACGTAGGTGCGCTTCACACGTATTATGTCATTCTATTGCGAAGTTTTACATCAGTACCGTATCAGAAATGGCTACTTTAGAAGGAAGAGATAGCTCACTGTATATAGTAACTTGCTGTTACCCTACTTTGCTTTAAGTAACCATCACATAGAACACTGTAATCTTGTATATACCAAGTTTGAGAAAATGATGCGCGTGCTATGAAGTATAAAAGGTAGAATGGATAGTGCAACCGAACTAAAGCCTATCCTACACCGAAACGTTCCATCCCTAGGATTTTATGGAATACAAATGTCAATTGTATTCTGATATAGATGTGGGTGTCTCATTTCCTATTCATCAGATTTTTCTGACTTAATTTGCATGAAGTTAATTTTGAGTTGTTTCATTAAATGTATTCTTTATGCAAATAGACCACGTGTAATTCATTGATTTCAAGCGTTACACATTTTCGCACGGTACAACATGTGTAACACTATAGATCGTTATCGTTTTCTTACTATATTTCGTATCAATGTGTTAAAATTTAGAAATAAGTATAGGTTCAGGCAATCCAGAAAACACTTGTGTTTTCATTACATTTTTGAGTAACAAATATAAATTCTTTGCTTAGGTATACTGATGTTGAAGAAATATATAGAGTAAAAGTATATTTAGGTCAGAATCATAACTTTATATACTTGGGTTTTGAAAAGATTTTTAATTATTTAACAAATGTAAGCAAATAGAGATGGTAGCCTTTTGTAGCACTAAGCTACAAATCCCTATTTTGACTCCATGTCTACAGTACTCATCAATTTTAGTGGAGTCAAGATATGGATTTGTAGCTTGAGAAAATAATGCAGACACTATTTCCAGTCTAGTATGTTTATTTTTTTAGAATCCGTAGTTATAGGCTTGAAAATATAATCTTTGGAGTTTGTTTCAGCTTGTTTCTTTACTTTTTGACGATCCCTATTCCTTTTTTAAATTAATAACTTTTAATTATCTTGATTCTTAAGTTTTTTGTGTTCATTTATGGAGAATATATTTTAAGCTACATACGAGCATTCAACATTTCAACCTTTTACTCAGGCATTGGCTTTTTTTTCAACCATTCATTATTTGCCGAACCAGATGGTTTTGTACCTGAGGTTTCGAGTACAAAGGAAGTCGTTCACAACAACATCTCATATATTATGTATTTATAGCCACGTAAATCAACTTTCAATGAAAAATAATCAAATTTTTAAATAAGTCATGGACATTTGCAGCGTTTAATGTAGCGCATCTGTCTAGATTTTGGTGCAAAATACCCAGCCGATTTAGCTGTAGGCTTGTTAAACAAAAATGTGATAAACAATAATAAAAAAATATCAAAATATACATTCACAATTTCATCGAAGTACGAAAATCAGTAGAATAAATCCCTACTCATAAGAGTAGAGAAATCTACTATGGTAATCCTCCACTTTTATAAAATCTACTGAAATAATCTCAGAAAACCACATCCAGACAAAGTACAATAGCGAACTAGAGAAATGATGAATCCTTAACGTCGCAGTTTCCAACCAATGCGCTATACGTTGCTCAAATTATTTTCCAATTAATGCGCATTGGAGGACTTACAGAAATTCTTCAGGACAACAAAACGAAGTCACTTGAATTGATTTTAAAACTACTTTATGACATACTCAATACTGCATTAATTAATATTGTCCAGGTTTCAGTAAAATATTCGTAGCCGCTCTTTCTGTAGCGCCTAGTAAAACTATAATTGATAATAATGGAGTTGAAGACATTGTTATAAATATACAAATTGTTTACTCTGACAAAACGAAGCGTTTCCGACTAGTATAACGGTGCTTAAATGGCTTCGAAGAGCTTATGCTGGTAGCGAAGGGAACTTAGAAAGTTTTGAGGTGGAAGTGTCAACTTACAAGAATCAACTTAAAAATAGGCCTACTACTTTCGCAGGAGTTTGTTTAGTAGATATGCATAGATAATGACGCAGTATACCTTGCCGTTTCTCTGTAGGCTTCGGTGCTTGAATGGCTTCGAAGAGAAACTTGGCCAATAGGAATGAAAAACTGATAACATCTCTCATAAAAATAGTCCTATGATCTGCGCAGTAGTTTTTTTTAGTAGGTTTACATAGCCGTCTTTTCTATAGGTTTTTGAAATAAGGATAAGATGAATAATAATATGAAGAACAAATGGATGAATTTTGAATCAACTTTTTGTTATTATCAATGTTCTAGCAGCCTTAGCCATTGAGATAGAAGGTATTGAGTGTTGTTTCAAGAATAAGTGTACTATTTAAGATGGTTTTGCCCGTGTGTTATATTATAATTTTTGTGAAATTCCTGTGTGATCCTTATTATGAATCATTACCGTGGTTCATGATACGAGAAAACAGTTCCATTGATAAAAGTTAGTTTCTATAACACAAATAACTGCTTTCCTTGTTGTTAAGTACAAAGCTACACAATGATCTAGCTATCTGTATAGTGCCTATCGCAGGGATAGAGCCCAAACTTTTGGCGCTATGACCTCTTAAGCTAACGGCTGAGCTATCTGAGGTAGTACACATGCTCTAACTCAATACTAAACTTCATGAATATTAAAGATGAGACGAACATATACTGGTATTTCATAAAATCTTAATTATTTTTCATTTGATTCATTAGTTATTGCTTTGCGTCAGACAATAATGGTAACATTTACTGTTTCTTTTCAATTAGCTTGTTATGACTCCGTGTCTTGGCTGTCATGACAGTTTCCGGAACGATATAGTCTGTTGAACACTTTTTATTTTAGAATATAACAAGTGCTATCTCTAGACTGACTGATATTTTGCTTGTTTTATGAATTTATGATGTTTTTTAATGTGTATTATTATATATTCTCGGTGGAACGGCATATATCAGGACTAACATTTGAGACTGTTTGGCGTTTCGTAGTTGGTGTGATTCCACTGACAATTGTTCGCTTTTGGGTATATATGTAATGTATATTTAACGCTATCTATTCATATACTCATATCATAAAGATGTGTTCATTTCGGGGACTTATAATTTTCAAAATGGGGATATCAAAGAAATTTGGATAAACTTGAAGCTCCAGAACTATCCAGAAAGAAACCTTCAACAAAAGCACCACAGTCGTAATAAGCAAAGTGTAACGTCTTGTAATCAGGTGAGAATCCACAAACACATAGGTAAGTGACAAAAGCTGTCCATATATTCTGGGCAATGGTATGAAACATACTTAAGAAAAGTCTCCATCTTGAAATGCGACACAAGTAAAATGTAGACAGGTTGTTTTTAAGACATATCCGTTCAATCGTTACACAATGAAGCCGTTGGAGAATGAAACGCGTATTCCATACGAAGACTATGAATTTTTGTAACATCAAACTATTAAAATGGGTACTGCAACAACGTCGTCCTCGTTCACTGGATAGATTATGGAAATCTGTAAGGAGTAATGCTGTGCTTTGTACATGACAGCCTTACGATGGAGTATTTTGCACTGGAAGCTACGTTGCAGGACTATTGTTAATATAAGAATATTATATCTGGATGTGGCGACATGTACTGTAACGACGTCGTGCGGCTCCAAAATGTTTTCTATAATTATGACATTTCTTACTTTCAATTTTCTTTCACCCAAACTCCTTTTAATCCATACTTTATTACTATGTTTAAAAACTCCTCAAATTTTTTGAGAGGCGGTCTGGAGGAAGAAATTCCCCGAGGTTATTTTCTTACGCTATAGAAACCTAAGTCTGCGACCCAATAACAAGGAATTTCATTGAACACGCAGTATCAAGCTGATTTTGGGGTTTTGAGACCCTAGTACAGCAGTCTCGAACTGATTTTACCACATCTCCAATACACTTCTTTAAAAATAAACTATTTTTTAATGTCTATAGAGTGAACTATCTACTAAGTATTTGTTCCATTTAATTTCCAAAATCTTTCTCTGAAAGAATCTTATTAACTAATGATTTTTAATTCCGGTGTTGCATATCTTTGCACAGCGTTGATATATAATGAAATCATGGTGTCACTAAAATTGTTCTCATTGAAACTCATCGTTGACAATATATATATAACAAACATAAAGTGGTTGGATACTATTATATACTCTTCTTCTTGAAAAACCCTAAGGGACT